CTCACAGATGCTAATGAACAGCTTGCCTTCCAAAAGCTAATGCAGTTCTCCCTGGATATTTATATGGGTACAGGTAGACAGGTAATGTCTGGAGCTCAGGAAGCAACCTGAGGGCTAGTACTAAAAGGTTTATGTTTTTTCTCAGAGTATTTGCAAATTTGTTTAAGGCCCAGTGCATCAAACTAAGAGAGAAGCTTTTTACTTGGTAATTTCTGGTCACCATTCGTATTCGTCAGCTTTCTGTTACAGTAATCAAATTTTACAAAGGGAAAGTATGGGGGCAACACACTTAATACATGGGCTTTTGGAGGACAGTCTAGATCCATAATATAGTACCACCTTAGCAGAGTTGCTGTACTTAGCAAATAAAAATACAAGAGGCCCAGTTAAATTTCAATTTCAGATTTTGGACAAATGGTGAAAATCCCATGTGTTATATAAACATTGCACTAACAAATTATTTGCTATTTATCTGAAATTCAGTTTTAACTGGACAGTCTATTTTATCTGGCAATCCTAAGCCCACTGCTTCAAGGTGTTTGGGGGCATGGAAGTAAGCAATGGATCACACCTGTGAAATGTGACTGAGGCATGGATTGACAAGGAGGCTATGAAGCACCCTGCTGTCAAAATGAACACAGCATTAGAGAATCTCTTGGATGACTGACTTGGGGAAAGATGATTGGGCTCTAGTTGTTCAGCACATCACTCCCATCCTCTGTTCTGCTGGGCTATGGTAGTAGAAGCTATGACTGAAGGGCTTGTGCCACATCATCAAAATTGTGTCATCCTCTTCTTACGTGTTGATAACTAAATGCAAAAACACTAGAGGTCGAGCTGATGTACCAGGAAACAGTTATGGAACTTGACTGTGTGCCTGACATGCTCTCTGTGCAGGTGGTTGAATTTGGTTTCCAACTATCCTCCACTTTGGGGAAAAAGTAGAAGCTCAGCGTGTCTGTTATGATGCTTATGATGTATTATAATTATTTATTTTATATATCTGCTTTTATTAGATTATAAAGGGCTACTTCCTATTGTTTACTTATCCTCTAGCCTCCTGCTTTGGATCCAGTATAGTTTTGCCAAATTGTCTATACTTTAATAGTTAGGTTTTACTGGAAGGTAAATCTCTAACTTTTGAATTTTTGTCCTTCCTTCCTTCTTTCTTTAACTGTCCTACGGAGTACTGGGCAGACCCTGTGCTGTGGAATCTGATTGGGAGCAGAAGTGTTACAAGTACAATAGAAGAGCCTCATTAGACTCTAAGTGCAGGAGTAGAATTTCCCCATGTGCTTGTATATGTTAGAACATTTGTAGGTGTGAGCTGCATCCCAACCTTGCTATCTTACTGTTCTCATTAGTAAGTTAGGATTTCTATGGTATCTCTTGCTTTTGGAGCTCTGCTTCAACAGAGTTATTAAATTTATCAGTACAGCTCAAGTTCAATCCATCACCTATTTATTAAGCATCTTTAACTTGCCAGGCATGGATCTGGGTTTGGAGAACACAAAGATGATTATGATAATATTACTGTTTGGATCTTAAATGTTGCCCAAAGCCTTGCTTGAATGCTTGGTTGCCAGTCTGTAGTGCTGTTGGAATATGGTAAAACTTTTAGGAGGCAGGATTTGATGGAAGGGAGTTACGTCATTGGGGAGTACCCTTTGGATCTCAGACCTTCCCCTCTCTCTTTTTGCTTCCTAGACACCATGAGGTTAGTAGTTTCCTCTGCCACACACTTCTACCATGATATTCTGCCTCATCCCAGGCTCAGAAGCGATGGGGACCAAGTGACTCTGGACTGAAATCCCTGAAGCAGTGACTCCAAATAAATCTTTCCTTCTTATAAGTTGATTTACTTCAGATATTTTGTCACAGTGATGGGAAACTAACACAGGCAGAGTCTCTATTTGAGGTGTTTCGCATCTAGTGTGAGAAACAGATGAGAAAGCAAAACTTCTCTAAGACAAGTGAAGGCAGTTATGGAGGTGGGCACAGAATTTTATGGAAGCACACAATAGGGCCCTTTTCCTTAATTTTAGTATCTTCTTCCCCTAAAAGCCCCATTGCTCTTCTAAAAGTCCATTGTAATTCCTGCCTACCAGGACTTTATGAGCAGTGGCATTTAGGGAGCAGCTAATGGCTGATAGGCCCACGGGATAGCTCTCCTGCACTAGAGAAAGGAAAATTCTAAGAGGTAAGAAAGTACAAGGCCACAGGATGCATAACCCTAGTTGTAGTTTGATTGGGTTTGGAAGAGTTTGAGGGGCAAGTAGGTTAAGCCAAGGGTTTTACCATGCAAGAGCATGGACATTTCTCATGGCTGGCTCTATGAGGCCCCTGCAACACATACAGTGTTTTTGCTTCTCTCTTTGAGATTAACTTGAATTTTTTTCTCTTTCCCATGGGAGCATTCCCATTTCTGTGACATTTACTTCCCTGCCAGTTTTATTTCTTCTTATTTCCTTTCTTGTCTCTGTCTCTGGGTTTTTACTGCTCACTCTCCTATCATCTCATTCTCTTTTCCTCGTACTTCGTTGTTTCTTTATCCCTACCTTTGAGTCTTCTTTGCTTTTTAATTCCGTTCTTCTGCCTCTACCTCCGTGTTCTAAAGCATAGCTGTTAAACTCAGGGTTGGGGAGGAAATTTTCATTTCCAAAAGCTCTTTGTATACTATAAAAGAACATCTCATGTGTGTCTGGGTATCCTAGGAAACAGAACTCTAGTTTCTGTTCAGGGCAGATTCTGCACACTGTGTTTGTAAGACACAGTGAAAGCAGAGTCTTGCACCTGGGCAGCAGAGGAGATTCAGTGCTGGGAGCCTTCTCTTTATTAGGCGAGAAGGCAGAACAATGACCCCATTTTCCTGTGCTTCTCTACCACTACACCTATCCTTGAATTTTCTCTTCACTGAGTCTGTTGTGTTTCTTTTACAAAAACAAAAAGAAAAACAAAAAACCTCACAAGAAAACCAAAAAACCAAAACCCTAAAACACTTTTGTCCTATTTTTCATTTCTATGTTTTTCCTTACTCTTTTTTCCCTTCTAGTTTTTCCGTGTTTATTAGAAATGATTTCCCCACTCCCACCCCAGTTTTTTCTTTGGTCTTGGAAGACAGAGTCAAAGCAGTGCCAGGGACTTGAGCTTCTAAGTCACTCCTTTCAGATGATGGTGTGGGAGTTTGGGTCGGGAGAGTGGAAAAGACTTGGGAAGCTTGTGCATCTCCAGAAGTTCCTTATTAGAGCAAAGGTTTTTTTTTCTTCTTCTTATTTTGAAGTAGCATGAACATAGAATTATAGAATCTTAAAGTTGAAAAAATTCCCCACTGGGTATTGAAATAACTTTTAATCCAATGTAGGCCCCTTCTTTACTTCCTAGTGATGGCTCTGCAGTGTGTCTTTGAATTCTGCTGAGGTCGGGACCCGTATTGTGTCATGTTAGTGGTCAACACTGCTTGTTCCCAGTGACTGTTAGATTATCTTGTTCCGCATCTGCATTACTGGTACCTGTTGATCCTGCATCTGCTTCCCAGAGCCACTGGGCATAAATCTTTCATGTAGCTCTTCTTCCAGTATTGATGACATGTCAGATATTGAAGGTACTTCAAGTATCTTCTTTATACTTGCAATATTTCGCCATGGTTCCACCAAAAACATTCAAGTGAAATAAAGCATTCTTGCCATCTCATGAGTATAATAGAACAGACAGTTTTATGAATGACTCATTGCCCAGCGGATCTGTAAGGCTCAGCTAGTCCTGGAGAGGTTATGAGGGATAAAAAGTGTTATTTCACAGAATAAAGACTAAAACTAGCAAATTTTAAATTATACTACATTAAATTAACATTAGAGATCTTTGTGTCAGAAACAATATCAATTGCTCACATTATAATTTATATAACACTCTTAATATTCAATGCCATGTTGTTTTATTTCTATAACTAAGCTACTATACTTCCATTTTTTGGTTCTGTGTTTGTTTTTGTTTTTTTGAGTCAGGGTAACATTTTGTAGTTAAAGCTGGCCTTAAACTCTCTGTGTAGCCCAGACTGGCCTTGAACTTGTGGTATTCCTCTTGCTTCAGCCTCCCGAGTTTAGTGGATTGCATCACTATGCCTTGCTCATCCTCTGTGTTTTAGATGAAGAAAGAGGTTCCTGGAGGCTGAGTGACTTGTATCAAGTAGCCCACTTCTTGAGTTGAATTATGACCTAAACCCAGTTTTTACTCTTACAAGTTTTCTGTTGTATCATTCAAAAGTATGTGTGTGTCCTTGTCTCCCCAAAGTATCTGCATGGGATTATATGCAATAAATAGTCTGCTAAAGGCAACGTACTTGGCATATACAATCTGAAAAAATTTGTATAGCTTTTCATTTCTTTGTGTGTGTGTTTTGGCTATGGCTATGGAAGGTGGGAAAACAGAAGCAAAGAAACCCAGTTTAGGTCCAGAAGGGGTTGGTTGGAAGTATAAAAATACTGATCATGCATGAGGACCACGGAGGTTACTCCCAATTAGAAGCATCAGTGTGATTGATTTGTTCAGTAACAATTCCAAGTATCAAGGTGGACAAGAGTGAATTACTCCTTTACTGTAGTTCATTCAGAAGAATTCCCTGAAGGAGACAGGAGATACAAGAATCTATGAAAACTTTGATATCAAAAAATGGGAGGATCTATTAGGATAGAAAGAGGGGAAGGAGTTTGACAAGGAGCAAGGTCCAGGATAAGGAATGGGATGGATGCTGGAAACCTTGAATTCTGTGCATGAGTTGGGACTAGGATTCTGGTATGACGATAAGGTTTCCTTCTTTGCAGAGTGAAACCCAGTGGCTAAATTTAACTCCACTCATCACCACTGGTGATTCACACTGGCTCAGGTGCACCCACGTACAGCTGGCATAGGCTTGGTGTGCTTTCCAGGCCAAGCCTGCCACAGCTCAACTCCCCTGAGGCATCCAGACAGTGGTAAACTTTACTCTTCTGTGTCTCCATCTGCAGCATCCTGGCCACTGCGGGAACCCATTTCAACACCCACGTGGACCTGAGGACCCTCCGGGCGGTGCGCGTGCTAAGGCCCTTGAAGCTCGTGTCAGGGATTCCTAGTGAGCATTTGCTTTCTTCTTTCTGCTCTGCTAGCAGCTTTACTGATGTGCTTCAGCAGATCCTCAATTCGGGATGAAACGAGGCTGCATGCAACTCAGTGGTAGAGCACTTGCTTAGCGTGCACAAGGCCATGTATTTGATACCTAGTGCAGAAAAACAAACAAAAACCAATTCCTCCTAAGAAGAAGCCCCCGTGGTAATAAATAACGGAGATGTAGCAATTAGGCATAACATTTCACTTTAAAATATAAATTTAAATTTTTAGATTTAAAAGATAATGAAAAATCTTTATATAAAAATTTGGAAAGTAAACAACAAAAAGAAATTGAATATCACTCTATTCTATCATGTAAAAATAACTTCATTGACGTTTTAGTACATCTTTTATATGTCTACTTCTTATCCTGTGCATTTAAATAGTTGGAATCATTATGTCTATCGAGTTTTGTATGATGAAGTAAGCTTTTTATTTTCATGACTTTAAAAATTCTTATATGTGTCATGATTTACTTAATGATTTTTATATGACTGAGCAACATAAAAATAAAGGTTATTTCCAGTGTTTTTCAACTACAAAGAGCACTGCAACAAGTATCTTTTTACTTTATTAAAAGCTCAGATCATTTTTCTAGGCTAAAAGTCTAGAAGGACAATGTCTGGGTCAAAAGCCATGGAGTTTTTCTGAGTAATGATTGTACCAGTTGTGTTCCTCCCACAGTAGAGGGGAGACCTGGATTAGAGATCGTGGCAGGAAAGATTGGCTGTGTCCATGCACTCAGAAGATTTATGGCTGAGCAAGAGTAGGCCTAATTTCCTGTAGGAAAGGAGCAGCTTCTAAATTCATTAATTAATTAATCTAAATTTAATCTATAAGAGGAGTCCAGAAGACAGCATGGACGAAATTGAGGAAAGGTAATAAGTATGTAACTGGCCAGGGACTGGTAAGGAGGAAGGAAAGGGGAAGACAGGGAAAAGATGATGGCTTTGGTTTGGCTTGACTTGTCCCGATTATCTGTTACCATCTTAGCACCAGTGGTTTTTTGTTTCCCCCTCTGCCTATGGCAGGGTGAAGAGTGTGCCCTGTCATGGAGTGCTGAGTGAAGACTCCATGTCATTCTCTTTTCTCCCTCTAGGCCTGCAGATTGTGTTGAAGTCCATCATGAAGGCCATGGTACCTCTTCTGCAGATTGGCCTTCTGCTCTTCTTTGCCATCCTGATGTTTGCTATCATTGGCTTGGAATTCTACAGTGGGAAATTACATCGTGCATGCTTCATGAATAATTCAGGTAAGGTCACTATTTTCTGTCTTCTGTTTTTTCCTTTCTTCTCTCCTCTGATAATGGGGGTAAGTTTGGGCCATTTTGAAGCCTGGTTGGAAAGTATGTTCTATCCGTACCCCAGAACTAGAATCAAGAACTTCCTAATCGCAGCCTTTTGAGGTACAACCAGCTTGAAGATGCCTACTTGATGCTGATATTGCAAAGCACCTTTCAAGTTGTTATTTGGAATATTTCAAGTAGGTGGTCTCAGTGTCACCATCCTGTGGTAGACAACTATCAGAATGAATATCAAAAGCCATCTGTCTGAATAAATACCTTTTATAACATGGCATCTTCAGCCCACAGGCCAGGGAGACTCAAGGAACCAGAGTTAGACTCAGGTCCCACTGGGTGTATGGAGACATTTTCCCCCATGCCCTGTTTTAGGATCTCCCTGCTGTCTATTTTGACTCATACATAGTATGGAATTGCTGAGGGAGCTCCAAGCTTGGTTTAGCAAGTGTTCTTAGGAGATGGATGTAGTGTACAAACCCCAAATTCCCATCTTTTTATCTTATTTGTTCTTTCCTAGGAGGAAAGAGAGTGGGGGATAGGTTGAAAAATCCCAACTAGGTATGTTTTTATGAAAAGAATCTTTAATACCTTGTATTAAAAACTAGAAATCTATGTCAGAAAAACAAGAGGTTAAGATCCAGCAGCTTGAAAGTGTCCCAAAGAATCCCAGAGAAAACTCAGCGTTTATCCTGGAATCTTAAGTTAGGAAATCAGCAAGTTTCTGCCTTCACTTCAGAGTTTTCCACGTGATTCAGTTCTACAAATTTACTAAAAGTTAGGGTAGAGTTTAGGGCCCACGGAAATGAATGGCCACACAGAGGAGAGACCTCATTTTCAGAAGAGATTGGGAAACTTTGGGGTGAACACATGGTATGTATATTAGGAGGTACAGAAAAGCCAGAAAGAAGAAGGAGGCTTGGGACAGGCAGTTTTCTGTCTGCAACAGTAGAATTGCTTGCTTGTGGTTTCCTGGGGTCATTTCCACTTATGCTAAGCACCATCCGGCTTACCCCTACCCCTTCCAAATGTGTCTGCAGGTATTCTAGAAGGATTCGATCCCCCGCACCCATGTGGTGTGCAAGGCTGCCCAGCTGGTTATGAATGCAAGGACTGGATCGGCCCCAATGATGGGATCACCCAGTTTGATAACATCCTTTTTGCTGTGCTGACTGTCTTCCAGTGCATCACTATGGAAGGGTGGACCACCGTGCTGTACAATGTGAGTAGACTGGTGAGCAGGGCAGGGATGGGCAGAAGCCCGTAGGGAGGATTCTGGGCTTGTTTGAGCTGGTTAGTCTGAAAGGGCTGGGGATATGTTGGGATGTGTCTAAACTGAGCGACGTCTTAGCCGTTTGTATCCTGCCTTGGTCTGGTCTCTTGCTAAGTAAAAGTACATAAGCTTCTTAATATAATTGGGAGATTGTGTTGTTTACTGGACATGTGAACAAACTGGTTAAATGAGATTGCTCTAGCAGTTTTAAGCATGTTGGCTCAACTGGTGGCAGGATGCAGTAAGAGGTGCTAGGAAGTATAGGGTTCTTGGTTACTGACCTCAAAGAGCTCTTTCCAGTTTGAGAATCTGTGATACTGGCTCTCAATCCTGGCTGCCCATTAGAGTCAGTTGGGAGCTTTAAAAAAATTATACTGCCTGGGATTCCAGCCAATTAAGTAAGAATCTAGGGTTGAAGGCTTGTCACTGACATATTTTTAAAGCTTCCTAACTGATTTAAATATACAGTCACTGTCAAGAACTACCACACCATGTACATAGGAAACCTGATTAATTATAAGCCTCGCCGGGCATGCTTGTTGGAAACCTAGATTCCCAGACCACCTCTCTTTAGATTCTGATTTCCAGCTTTGTATAGCTGGGAGAACTGTGTTTTGCAGTGTCCTTGGTGATCAGACATGTTTGGAAGGTTCTGAGTGGTATTATGAAACAAGGCTGGCTAGCTGCCTCTCAGTAGATTAAGGATTTCTATAGGGAAACAGAAGGTAGACAAGGTGACTATGAAGTCTCTTTGCCTTCCCAAGTATGATTTTAGTAAGTATCCAAGGGATGATACAGAGTGCAAATTAAAAAATGAGAGGCAGAAAAGCAGTTTGGGTAAGAGCTCACAAAAGACTGTCGCCTTCTCTGCATTCAGTGAGTTCCCCTGAAAGCAGATGTTTTAGAATGATCTCCCTTCTCACATACACTTCCACAGCCTGGCTTTACTTTAAGGTGCCTATGTTTCTTTCAGTTCCTTTCTTTGTCCTTGTAATCTGATTTTACCTGCTTAAAACTTATTAGATGAGGCACAAGGTGGCTTATACAAGAGATTTTAGAAGGAGCTCTGGATATAATTTACACTGAAGGGAAAAGGAAATGTTGCATTTTAAGAGACTTAACCAGGCTGTAATGCCCATGGAGCAAGGACTCCGTGAGGCATGTTCATGCAGGTAGCTAGTAAGTGTTCATTATGATGAACCCTCTATCCATAGGTTTCGTATGTATGGATTTAAATAACTGAGGATGGACAATGATTGTTAATTCCTATCATCTTGTTTTGAAAACCTGTATTATTTTTATTGTTTTGATGTTGTTTTGTTTCTGCCTTGGTTGTTGTTGTTATTGTTTTTTTCTCTTTAAAATAAAAACAATGTTATGTTGTTGCAGACAGATAATGGTAGTTAGTCCTATGATAGTTGTGTGTGTATTAAATATGTATAGAATTCTTTGTTCTTGGCATTATTCTCTGAATTATAAAGTCTAACAACTATTTGCATGTATCATATTAGTTATGTAATATAGAGATGATTTAAAATATATGGAAGGATTTGTATAGGCTATATTCAAAGACTATGCCATTTTATAAAAGGAAATAGAGTACCCACATATTTTGGTATCCATGGGTGGGTTGGGCATTAGACCAATCCTCTGTGGATACCAAAGGATGGTAGTACTAACCTGGATCCATTCCCATATAGGACACGCAAGTCAAAACTGAGAATCTTTGCCGGAAAGAGTCACAGGCGATTATACTAAAGCTCCCAAAGGGTAGTGAGAAAGTCTCAAGCGCCACCTACTTCTCAGCATGCCTAGGGGTTAGCTGTGACCCACAAGCCTCTGGAGAACACTGTGAGGGTCTCATCAGCTGTTGATGAGCACAGTCATTCTTCATTTGAGATATGAAGGTTGTCCTGAGGCCCTGTCACTCAGATTAGGTAGGTGCCTCAAGAAATTATAGCACTCTCTCTGCAGTGACTGGTGTCACTTGTGGGGCTCTGGGGATGATGTACTTCAATTATATGTGTAGACTCACCTAAATAATGTGATAAATGCATTGAAAGCCTGAAAGGAGAAGTGTTGCATTTGAGGATATAGGTGTGATCTGTTGATCCACTTTAGCCAAGGCTCAAATGGTACTGAGACATGCAGGAGTGATGCCAAAGAGCCACTTGTCTTTTTTCTCTTTCTTTTCTTTTCTTTTCTTTTTTTTTCTTTTCTTTTCTTTTCTTTTCTTTCTTTTCTTTTCTTTTATTTCTCTTCTCTTCTCTCCTCTTCTCTTCCTTTCCTTTCCTTTCTTTCTTTCTTTGCTGTCACCACTGAACTTTTCTTTTCTCTTCTCTTCTCTTCTCTTCTCTTCTCTTCTCTTCTCTCTCTTTCTTTCAGTATATGTTAATTAAGCATCTACTATATGACAAGCTCTTGGTTCCTCTCTAGTTTTACTCCACCAGGGAAGCAGTAAGAAAAACTCCAACATCTTCCAGTGCATCAGCTTCCAGAGGTGTAGACTCACACTCTCTCTGACATCCAGCCTTCAAGTCATTGAATTTCAGTGAACTGAAGGCCTCCTGCTATCATTATGGCTGGAGCCAGTGATGTAGAGGTAGTTGAGCTGTAGGGTTGGTTTCCAAATGAACTCACACCTGCTCTGAAAGAGTACTACTTTCCAAAGCACTAGAGCTCAGGAAAAGGTGTGGAACTAAGAATCCCAGGCAGGTGATAGTCATATTTTGGTGGATAGCCACCTTTTGACTCAGGAGAGATTGCATGAAAAAAGCACCTGACTTTCAGCCAGTGGAATGAAGATGAAGTCTGATTCCCTAGGAAAAGAGGGAGCCAGCCAAAGCTGGGTTTCAGTTGAGCAGGAACCCTGGGTCAGAAGTATGACCCAGGCAGGGCTGTGTTGCATGATCTGGCCGTGCATTGTAAACAGGGTGCTCTGCCAGTGGAGTAGCAGCTTCATGGAGGTAGATTCCTCATGCAGGTGAGGATAGGGCTTGCAGTACATGGTGGAGTTACATCACACAAGCTTTTTATTCACCTCATTTCAACTTGGCAAAGAAAGGATGTTGAGGAAAGGGAGGAAAACAACAATTTAAGTAGTGTGGACAAATCTACCTGCCATTCCGTTCAGTGTTCTTACACCCATTGAAGGTAGTGAGTGAGAAATGCCTAGCTTTTGGCTGAAAATTTGCAGATTCTTGATAGCAGATAGCGCATATCAATGACACATGAGTATCTTTTTCCTTTTTTATTTTAAGTGAGACTTTTGAATGACAAAATTATATATACACATGCACACAAACACATATTGGACTATGAACAAGTAGTTAATTTACATTATGAACACAAATATACAAATATGTATATTTCAGCATAAGTATATAGGAAAATTACTCTCTGATTCTCTACCACTGCCACCACCGATAAGATGCAGACATAACTATACTGATTTCCCCTTCATCTAGTCCTTACTTCAGGAAGGTCCAATTGACCCAGCTGCTGTATTTCCTTATGCAGAACATCAAGAGAAGGGGAATCTTATTTCCCAGTCCATGGTCCCTTCTGTTCAGTGGTGACAGCAAATATGTAGATTGGTGCCAGTTATACCCAAATCAGCAGGACAACCTTCAGGTTGCACAATGAGAAGACGTTCTCTCAAATATGCAGCTCAGGTTAACCTTTTTATGTCCAATATAAATACTTCCCTCAGCAGGGTGTGGTGGCTCACACCTGTAATCCCAGCACTCAGAAGGCTGAGACAGGAGGATCACTGTGAGTTTGAGACCAGCCTTGGCTATGAGTTCAAGGCCAGCCAGAAGTGCATAGTGAAACCCTATCTCAAAAAGACACACACAAAAAAATTTTCCCTCATGTTTGCATCTTTTTTCTGCTTTGCAGAGTCTTCCTGAATGCCTCCCTGTGACCTTGTGTTGCTGGGCCATTGCTTACTATTAATTTCATTTGCACATGGCTCTTCATATTATAATGTTTTATTGTAAAAGGGAGGAGGGTTCTCATTGTCAGGGCAACATGGAGTCACCCGTGCTCATTTTAGTCTCTACCAAAATTTCTGCTTGGTCAGACTCCAACTGCATTCCTGGCTTCCCTCCGTCCTGTGGTGAGAGGACGCAGGGCAGCCTGCTGTTGTGCTGGCTGCTTCTTCCTGCTTTGACTGTCCCTCCCAAAGGTCTCTTCAACTTGCAAACTCACCTCTGTACTTACTAATTTAATTGATTTTATATCTCTTCAACCTGATGCATGTTCCTTCTCTAGCACAGTGTGTTCTCTCTCTGATCAATGTTGTTCACTCAGCGAATATTACTGTGGCTTGGGCATTAATTTCTAGCCTTCTTCTTGGACTGAGGGTAGCCAAGAGAACTGACTTTTTCCTGATTCTGATCAAGTCTTTTCTTTTCCTTCCTTGTCATTCTAGTTTTATATTGTCTGCTGATTCAGTTAACTATTATCTTATATCAGGACTCATACACAAATTGCAGAGGTTCCCAGTCCCTGTCTGCAATTACTCAAATATCTGCTCTTAAAGTCTAGTGTTTTTCCTTTATACTTCTAGAGCTGGAGCTGTTTCTTTTCTCACTGGCAGATGCAGAAGTTCCTGGAGCTGGGCTCTTTCCCCAGCCCTGTAGGTTTGTCTGCATAACTATTGTGACTGCCTAGGCCGCTCTGAGCTGCTAGGATGAAAGGGGACTTTAAAAGGCCTCCCTGGCTTCTAGCAAGAATCAATTTATATACAGGGTATTTCTAAAACTCTCACTCCTCAGAAACCCTTTGGTCTATAGCAATACATGAGGCTGTCTTTTAAGTTGCCTTCTTTCAGCTACACATTATTAAATGGTTAACGTCTGTTGGCTATTTGCCTCACTGAGAACTTTTATGTACTATACATCAGCCTTAAAAAGAATAATGCCGTATTCCAGCATTTATGAAAA